TTTTAAGAAATAAAATAAATAAGTACTTTTTCTTAAAAAATAAGTAAAATATATTTAAAATATTTTGTAGTGACTAATAAAATCTAAATTTTTTAATTATCATATATTTATTATACAAATTTCTTACTAAAATTTATGTAAAAATTAAATTTAATTAATTAAATTTGATAGAAAAATAAAAAATACATTAAACATATTCCAAAGCTATCCCCAACACAAATTAAAAAAATTCATAAAAACATAAACAAATCAAAAATAAATCCCACCTCTCTCTCACCGTTTTCTCCAGTTTTTGTGTACCCTCACTTAGTGTCCTCTTTTTTTAACTCGGAAGCCCTTGGGCTTTCCGAGTGTTTTGCCGCTTGAGCTGCAGGGCTCTTCGGCTGCTCAAGCCTCCTGAAGCCGGTTACGTGCTCCCTGCTCCGATGACCCCTGGGTGGTCTATCGGCTTTTGCGATCCCTTCTGGTGGTCCTTTTCTTGTTTTTTTTTTCTGTTTTTCTGTTTGTTTGGTTCGTTTGTGCTTAGATTCGGTGGCCGTCTAACCCTCACGCGGATCTACCGTGGTGGTCGTTGGGTTCCCAGATCTGGTGGCCACCGCCGGTTTGGCTTCCCGCCTCGGCGTCCTGGAGACTAAGCGCCACTCCTTCACGAGTAGATTGAAGGGTGTCCAGTTATCTGGATCGTTCGACCAGAGGAACCGGTAATCTACTCCTTTGAGGTTGTCCGGGTGCACTGTTCACCTCCCTTCCTTGCCACTGCAATTGGTTCTACTCCGGATTTACTCTCCAGCTGTTCTCTCTCTGGTTGTTTTTTTCACTCTTATCCCGTGGATAAGATTTTCTGTAGATGCCGTAATGGCGGTGCTGTAATGCAATGCTTTCTCTGTGTTCAAAAAAAAAAAATCATAAATAAATTTTGCGTGGAGCAGCGATCAGCACGATCAAATTAATCCTGCCAGCCAGTTTTTTTTTTTAATTTAATTTTCATTGGTTTAGTAGGTCCATTTACGTAGGGCTAGGGGTGGGCACGCACGCGGGCAACCAATCGGTTGCCCGACAACCGCAGCAAAATTGGGCTTGCGGCGCGGTTACAAACGGGCTTGGGGCCCAAGGAACGGTTTTACGCATCAACCGTTTATAATCGGTGCGGGCTTCGGTTCCAAGCCCAACAACCGAACAACCGAATAATACACCCGAAAACCCGTATTATTGTTTAGGAAAATACAAAATATATACCTTCTAAAACACATTGGCACCTTCACAATTTGCTGTGGGAAGCAAGGCGCATTCAACATCTAACTCAAATAAACACCCGCTTGACACTTGTAAGCCAAGTCTGGGCATCATCGGAAAGGGCTTTCTGCGACGAAGAAAAACAAATGAGCTCCGATACAAGATTCGGAGTTTACGGAGCTCGAAAAGCTTTATGAGTCTAGAACCCAACATAATCCGAGAAAAACCCAGATCTAGAACATAATCCGAGAAAAACTCAGATCTAGAAAAACCCAGATCTGGGTTTTGAGAGAGGAAGAAGAAGGGAGAA